CCCCTCCCCCTGCCCGGGCCGTCTCCGCCCTCGGGGGCGCCCGGAGGCCGCCGGGACCGCGGGGAGCGGGTCGGGGCCGCGGCGCGGCTCGGGACCCGGGGTGCAGGGGCCCCGGGCTGTCAAGGCGAGAGAGCCCCGGGGCCGGGGCGGCGGGAGGGCTGGGCCCTCAGCCGGCGGAGAGGATGCGAGGAGCTTTCTTCTTTTCCTCTTCACAGAGCTTTGTTGAACTAGCTGTTGCTGCAAAACTGCTGGGAGAATCCCATTGGTTTGCGTGGGGACCGCAAAAAGGGTGGTCCTGGGGGCTCTCTGTATAAATAACCCGGTGTTATGGGTCCTCTTTGCGGGCGACCCAGTTGGAACGTGCCTTCGGGGTGCGATCTTCTCCGTACAAGGCCCGTGTCCCCCCGCAGCTGTTACTTGTATATGTTCACTTTATATCATGCATTGGAGGAGCGACCTCTCCCCCCTCCCTCTGCCGGTTAAGCTGGTGGCCGGTTCTGTCCCCTTATAGCAGAACCAAAAAAAAAAAAAAAACCCCTCAGTCAAAGGAAAGCCTGTTGATTGGACAAAGCTTGTCAAAATTCGTCCTGGTGGTTTTTTTGGAAATGTGTGTTGTCAGCCGATCTGTGCGGTGGTCGTGGTTCCGCTCAGCTCCCTTGCAATGAGAGGATTCAATCCCCATCCCAGGCTGTCGGGATCTCTGCAGTTTCCAGAGCTGGCAGGGGCTGTGAGTGCTGCATAGGTAGGTTCCTGGAGAAGGGAGTGGCAGGAATTCGGAGTCTCTGCGTTCCGAGTTTGGAGGCGATCTCCACAAAAATGACAAGACAGCACCTGCTCTATCCTAGAAGTAAACAACAGTAGCAATTCAGCAACTGGCAACAGCTGGCAAAGCACCTTCCTTTTCCTGCACTGACCGGCCACTTGGGTTCCTGGAGGAAGGCTGGAAGAAAACGGGGACCCTTGAACATGGCTGTCGTCGCGGACTAGACCCGGATTTCAGCGTTTCGCTCACTGCTCGGATCGAGGGCCTTACTCTGTTCCCTCTTTTTCAGTACTCACGTTCTGGGATGAAGAAATTTGTTCACAACGATCGCTGGGGCTCAGATTACCGCAAAAAAAAAAAAAAAAAAAATCACCTTCTGAAACTTTTTGTTTCAATACTTCTCATTTGGACCTGCAAAATAAGAATAAGCAACATTAAGTAACGAACTTTCACTTACGGTATCATTTCTTAGCACACTGAGAAGAACATAATTATAAAACTACCCCTGCCTCTTGAACTTGACAACACTGAATTCCGTAAACTCCAAAATGATGGGATTCAGGAGAATGGGTTTTAACACCTGTTTTCGTTGTGCCAACATTTCATGTTAATTATGGCCTCTGTCTTCTAACGTGGAAATCAAGGCTAATAATATTTTTCACTTCCGTTAGTCCCACAATCTTCTGCTTAACCCTGAACTCTGAATTTATCGTGGATAATGATTACCTGGAAGGAATATCGAAGGATCATCTGATCCTATATAAATGTCCTAACTCTGCCTTTCTTCCACACTATTGCCTGAGACTTCTTTATCTGGTTTCATCTTTCCTTTGTGAGTCAGCAACCCAAACTAACCCCTGAGCTGCAATAATACCTTGATTTTAAAGAATCTCGAAACGCAAGGTCCATCAATCTGCCCAAGCTGTGAGCAACAGAGTTCACTGTGTTTTAAGTTTTTTAAGCTCTTGGCTATTCCAGTTCTTTAGTGAATCAGCCTTGCCTTCAGGTCCCATTCATTTTTTTTTTTTTCTCTCTCTCTACGGGTTATTTAATTCTGTAATGTATAAAATGCTCTTCAGCGTTTCTCTGAAAGTTTAAACAGGAGCAGGCCTAATTGCAGTACCATGCCAATACCAGCATGTGTTTTCTGTATTTGCCCGTGCCTCTGAGGATCAGCTCCTAATTTTCTGTTCCCTTTCACAACTTTTTAAATCCACTGGTTGTTTTCCAAAGCAGTCAGTTAAGAGACCACGAACACTTTTTTCACAGCTCTGAAGTCACATCGTGGTGTTCTCTCTCATACTGTCTTCAGAGGTACTTACTCCCATTTTGACTGTTAGACCGTTCCACTCTGGTTTATGTTAGTTTTGATGTTACTAAAAAGAAGGCCTGCCCGTACGTCTCAGGGCCTGCAGAAGTGCCTTGACAACAAATTGATGGCCATATTTATGATCCCGAATGTTTAAGATTTTTTTCCTTATTATTTCTCAAACATTCTTAGCCAAAATTCATTTGGCATGAAAAACATTTAAAACTCCAGGTCTCAAGTTGCTGTATTTCTTGGCATTACCAGCCTGTGGAAACTAACGGGACCTTTATCTTTTTTTCTGATAAATTCAGTATATTTTAGTGCCAGTGAGAGGGTATACTGTTTTCAAATGAATGGACATAATTCCCTCGGACGTTCCCCCTTGCCTTACCGCTTGCAGTCTGCACCACTTGTGTGGAGAGGGGAGGGCAGTAATTTCTTTTTTTCTTTTTTTTTTTTTTTTTAATGAAATCTATTGTCGAATTGGTTTCCGTACAACACCCAGTGCTCATCCCAACAGGTGGGAGGGCGGTAATTTCTACCTGAGAAAGTTGAATACTGGAACATGGAAATCTAGCTACAGTGGTGCAAGTTGCCTCATATTTCTACATGAGATCTGACCTTCTAGCCCCTTCATTTCCTATGACAAGCCCTCAGAGCAAGCAGTTCTCCAGTTTATCACTCAAATAATCCAGCTGATTTGGTTTCTTTACTTCAGTCTAGATTCTCTTGACCTTGACCAACTCCATTCTTCATTCTCCTCAGGGAAGTGGAGAAGTACTTTTTTGTGTTACTTTTCTGAATGTTCCTTGTAAATCATTCTTGGTAATGCTTTTTCTCTTTGTACGCTCAATTTAGGCTTGTCTACGCACTGTATTTTATCTGACTCGTGCAATTAAGTCTTCTCGTTTATCTTCGATGTAACTTAGGAAAGTTCCTCTTGTTAATCAGATTCTCTGTCACGAAAGTTACACACTTCAGCATTGCCCATGCCCGCCTAAGGGATTGGCAGTGTCTCACCAGAGAGCCCGTCAGCATTTCTCAATCCCCTTATAGTAATGAAAATAAAATGAAATTTAAGTAAATAGCCAATCCAATCACCTTGTAAGCATTTCACTAACTGGATGAGAACACTTTTTGATATACTTAGTCTGTCATTTTTAAGTTTCCTGCAAAGACTTCCTGCAGGACTTGCAACATTACCTGTCCTTAAAGTATTTGAAGAACTTTATCCTAGGGTGCAGTCTACAGCTTGTCATTGTCAAAGTCATAGTAGACGTATAAACGTGAATGCCAGAAAAAGTTTAACGTCTTCAGGATAATACTTAGAACATTTACGTTACAGTAACTTTCAAATCAGTAAAAATCTTAATCACAAAAACTTCACCGCCAGTGGACAAATGAATTCTTCCTTATTTCCACCTAGCCTTTAACAGAGGCTTGATAGCCTTGAAAGCTGTCATGTGGCCAACCAGTATAAGAAGTATACTTATTTTTATACCTCTGCAGTTTTGAGCAAATTCATATAGCCCAACAAAATGCAGACCAAAAAATTACACCGTAAAGTTATGATTTCTGTTTAAACTGCAACACGATAGATTTTAGCCTGTTGCTAATCCGCATGGTAGGACTTTATGGTCTGGAATGTTTGCTGTAATCTGTCTTCCTCTGCATCCTGCTTTATCTGTGCATTTCATAACTGACTGAACCTATCCCTCTGACTTAATGTCAGTATTTACCATCTCGGTGTTGTCAGTCCTGTTGGCATTTCAGAAATTCTCATTAATTTTGAGGTATTTTTTACTCTGTGGGAGGTATTTTATATACTTCACCAAACCACAACTCTAACTCATAAGTCAAATCAAATTAAGCCCAGTACACTTCCTGCAGTCTCAACCCCGATACATTTACAAGCAGAATGAGGAGGTGATGAGACACTCCTTTATTTCTTGCTGCCCTTCCAGTCTGCCCTTGGATCACTACGCATTTCCATCTGGAAGGTTGCTTCTCCACAGTGATTTCGCATTACAGGAGGGTTTTCCTTCTTTGTTTCTCAGACCTGGTCCTGTAGACGGGAAGGAGCCTGGACACAGTGACACATTCACAAAGGCCCTGCAGGACCACCATGGCTTATGATGACTCCGTGAAGAAAGAAGGTATGACCCCTTAATCTGAGAAGCATTCCAAAGGGGGTTTCCTCTTCAATCCTTGCAGCCTGTGGACATAGAGACCAGGACTGGCCATCACAGCCTGGACTCCCAAGTGCTGGCCCAGAGCAGTATTAATGACACTCAGCCTCCACAACATCCCCCAACTGGGCCCATGGATGCGAAAACCAGGACAGGGTTCCAACACGAGAGTCTGAAATATAAGTCTCTAGTCTATTGGGGTGATCCCCTGCAGCACTCGTGGTCCTTGCCAGCTCCATGTGCAGGAGTCTGGGGATAGGAGTCACGTTTTGGACTCCCACAGAGCAGCACAGCGCATGAATCCTTATTCTTTTCAGCCTTACCTCTGCAAGTCTGTGTCCACCTGCCAAATCACAACTAAGAAACCATGTCTGAGGATGCACATTGGGCTTTGCATAGCGTGGAAGCATTGTTTCTTCAGGTTTGGTTCTTGTATTTGCAGCCAGGTCATCAAGAAATACACTTGTCCCCTTGGATCCTAGCCCCGTATTCCAGTGGGCTTCTTGAAACATTTTAACTTGGAAATGGAGGGCCTGTTGCCTTACATATGTGGTGACTTGGTTGCCACTTACTTAATCTTTCTCATTTCCTTTCCCAAATGAACCCGGCTTTTAGATTGCTTTGATGGTGATCACAGCTCTGAGGACACGGGACTAGCTGCTGGCCGAAGCCAACGAGAAAAGAAACGTTCTTACAAAGACTTTTTAAGGGAAGAGGAAGAAATCGCTGCTCAGGTCAGAAATTCTTCCAAGAAGAAGTTAAAGGTAAATTCTACACATTTGAATTAGGAAAGCTTTTAACTGTCTCACATCCTATTTCCTCATACTTGAAGAAAGAAGTTTATCTTAAAATAAACATTGTTGGCACCCATTCGTAGTACTTCCCGTATTTTACTTTGTTTTCCAAAGTCAGAAATCAAAGAACAAAATCGGGCCCCGTCTTATTCGTTGGTCAATTCTTCTTCCTCTTCAATTCCAGGATAGCGAACTTTATTTCTTGGGGACGGACACGCACAAGAAGAAGAGGAAGCACTCCTCCGATGATTACTACCATGGAGGTGAGGGGGGAAGGGGCAGCAGGTGGGATGAACACATCACTGGTTCTTGGAGTCGGGGTAGGGGAAAGGGATCCAGATGTTGCTGACTCAGTGGCCTATTTAACAGGACAGTGGTTCTTGTTCTGAGTGCCGATAAACCAGTGTGAAGGAGGAGAGAGGTGGAGGGCTGGTATTTTGGAGGATTCAGCATAGAAGAACAGTCTTCATTTGTGATACACCAGGTACCAGGTTCCTTCTCCCCCCAATCATCCACTTCTCTTCTGCCCATTGTTACCTAGCATCCCTTTTGCCGTATGTAGTCCCGGGCCCTCGGGCCTGCACCTGTGGGTTACTTCTCAGTGCAGTGCATATCCACTCACAAGACCAGCCTCTCTTAGCTCTCTTACGCGCATAGCTGATGAGACTAACCCTTTACTAGAACGGGCTTGTCCTGAACACAGAAACAGATGACACTCTGTCTGCAGTGCAACCCAAATTGTGACTACTCATAATCCCACAGCTTAGTCCGTTCTTCTGGGTCCGCTCTCTCTGGTTGCTCGTGAAGTCTCAGTGAAGAGAAACGACTTTAGTGGCGAGAACTGTGTCCGGGGTCAGGCAGAATCTACCAAGCCAAGAAGCACACGGGCGTCATCAGGAATCAGTTGAAGGGTCCCCCCTCAAATCATTTCTCTTAGCCTCTTGCTCGTGTTAGTTGAGTGTTTTGGGTGAGAGAGGAAACTTGTTGGAAGTTGGTTTGTCGTGTGGACATGACTTCGCTTGATTATTTCTAGATATTTCGTCTTTGGAATCGTCACAGAAGAAAAAGAAGAAGTCCAGCCCGCAGTCTGCCGATACAGCCATGGATCTGTTGAAAGCTATCACTTCCCCGCTGGCAACAGGCTCCAAGCCCTCCAAAAAGACAGGGGAGAAATCCTCCAGTTCTTCAAGTCATTCAGAGAGTAAAAAGGAACACCACAGGAAGAAAGTAAGTGGAAGCGGTGGGGAGCTGTCCCTGGAGGATGGCGGTTCCCACAAATCAAAAAAAATGAAACCGCTCTATGTGAACACAGAGACACTGACTCTTCGGGAGCCCGATGGCTTAAAGATGAAGCTCATTCTCTCGCCAAAGGAGAAGGGAGGCAGCTCGGTTGATGAGGAGTCTTTTCAGTACCCCTCTCAACAAGCGACGGTGAAAAAATCCTCTAAGAAATCAGCTCGGGATGAGCAAGGTGCTTTACTCCTAGGACACGAGTTACAGAGCTTTCTGAGAACAGCCCGGAAGAAGCACAAGTCTGCCTCGGACCCACATTCCCCTCCTGGCCCCGAAGGCGGTGGGTCGGACGCCTCCCAGTTCCCAGACTCCCACAGCGCTGACCTTGATCTTTCAGGACTTGAACCTATTCTGGTAGAATCAGACTCGTCCTCTGGTGGGGAGCTAGAGGCTGGGGAGCTGGTGATAGATGATTCCTACCGGGAAGTCAAGAAGAAGAAGAAGTCAAAGAAGAGCAAAAAGAAGAAGGACAAGGAGAAGCATAAAGAGAAGCGACACTCCAAGTCCAAGAGAAGTTCGGGACTTTCGGCCGCAGCAGCGGGAGAGGCCCCAGTGGCTCCCGGCCCTCCTCCCAGCGCCCCGCACGCTGGGGCGGCTGCCCCTCCCCCCCCACTGCCCAGCCTCCACACAGACGGGCATGGTGAGAAAAAGAAGAAAAAAGAGGAGAAAGACAGAGAGAGAGAGAGAGGAGAAAAGGTAAACCATTCTTTAAAGTGCGGTGGGGAAGTGACAATGGTAGTGAGCGGACTTGGAATTCGGCAGCTGAGGTGAGCCGTGGGGAGTGTGGCCCCGTCCGGTGGGATGGCATGAAATGTAAAATATTACCAGTGGCCAAGTGTGGCTGATGCGAAAATAAGAGCAGTCTTGATTATTCATGGGTTTTGTTTCTTTAATTTTTTTTAATGTTCATTTATTTTTGAGAGACAGAGACAGAGCACTAGTTGGGCAGAGAGAGAGAGAGGGATGCACAGAATCTGAAGCAGGCTTAGGCTCTGAGCTGTCATCACAGAGCCTGATGTGGGGCTTGAACTCACAAACGGTGAGATCATGACCTGAGCGGAAGTCAGATGCTTAACCAACTGAGCCATCCAGGCGCCCCAGATTCATGGGTTTTCTTAACGGAGCTGTTCTCCCATTGTGCCAGGCATAGGGTTAGGGATACCCTTGAAATTGGAATTCACGGAAGGAGCCAAACCCACTTTCTTTCACTCAGCAGCACTGGCTGCCTGGGGCAGTTGAGAGAGACTCAAGGTACCGGAGGTATTCTGTGAGCTTACTTTGAGAAACATTTTCAAAATGAGAAGAATAATGACCAGGTTAACAGAATAAGGGAATGGCTTTCCACTAACTGTGCTTTCCACTTTCTGGTGTCAAATGTGTGTTCTTTCACCATGTGAGCGCCTGCTGTCTACCAGGCCCAGTGCTGTGGTTCATGTTAAGAGGAGCAGAGCTGAGCGGGACCTAGCTCCCGACCTCAGGGAGCCCACAGATTGCTGAGGAGATAGGAATGAGAAATCAGCCAGCTTGGTTTAACTTCTTTCCCGCAACTTGAAAAACTTCCTAGCAGTTGTACAGTAGGGGCTGGTGACTATGTCATTACAGGTTTTCTTTGAAAAATAAACCTTTCCCCCCTGTTATCAAAGTAATTGCTATTGCAGAAATTTAGAAATCAAGAATCGTAGAAAGAAGAAGCTCAGAAAGGTTAGTTTTGCCACCCGAGGACAACCATTGGCTTCCTTTGTTTAGAGTTCTGCAAGATGAAATGTCAGATAAAGTCTGAAAGAGAAGCTGCTAAGAAGGAGAAAGTCAAGTATTTAAGAATTTGGAAATGGGAGCTTCGGTTCAGCCTGTGACGGGTACGGGTCATGTTTCCCACTGCAAAGAGTGGCTTTGAAGTGTGTATATCTCAGAAATGAAAAACAAAAGTGTACCTTCCGAGCCACGAATCAGTGTGCGCGTCAAGAGCTGCATAGTCAGACACTGGGTCAGGTTTTATTCATTTATTTGCAAATTGCTTCGTGAAATCGTATGTATTCTGTGTAAGATGCCCTTTATCCTGAGAATTTCCATTCGCTAGTGATGTATGACAGTGCCATAAACTAATCGTACAGTGCTGAACGTAGGAGGTCAGGGTGGCCAGAGCTGACGGAAGAAAAAGGATTTCAGTACAAAGGCATCCAAGGTGGCAGAAAGACGTTTAGGAAGTAGCATAGCAAAACCACCGAACTCTAGTCCTGTGTTTCTAACTGCCTGATAAATATTGCCACCTGGATGCCTTGGGTCCCTCAGACCCACGTGTCACTGACTAAGCTCATCATCCTGTCGCCCAGACCTGCATCTCCTCCTCCATCTGCTTCTGTGTTCTGGGCCCTTCCAGTCAGCCCAGACTCAAAACTATATGCTGCGTCATTTCTCTTGACGTTTTATTACGAAATTTTCCAAAGCAAAAGCTTTGAAATGGTACAGTGAGCACAATATGCCACCCAGTGAGATTCTGTAGTTATTATCTTGCTGTCTCCCTCATGAGACATCTGTCCATCCATCTTTTACAAAGTATTTTGAAGTAAATTATAGATCTCTCACATCGCATCGCTGAACGCTTCAGCCTGCGTGTCATTAACTTAAGTTCAATATTTGTTTTCAGGACTTTTTTTTTTTTCATGGTAGACTTACATGCAGATGTGCATGGGGTCAGTCTACCACTGGGTGAGTTTTGACAAATGCGTACGCCTGTGTGACCACACCTGTCAAGACAGACATTCCCATCGTCCCAAACAGCTTTCGCGTACCCCTTGCCTGTCGGTCCCCGCCCCAGAGCCACCCACTGTTCTGGTTGCTTCCCAGTCTTATGATTTTTGCATCTCCGCCTCCCTGCTTTCCCTCTCCTGTAGCTCCACGCAAGGACTGTGCCCGATATCCTTCCTCCTTAATCATCCCCATGCCTTTATGTCCTCCGTTACCACTGTTCCATCCTGGACCTCATCCCTCCCTGTACGTAATGCAGTAAATGGCCTCCTTTCTGTTTCTTCTCCCATGCAATTACTACACCCTGATGCCAGAATGTTCTTAAGTACCACTTTGATGCCAACAGTCCTCTGGTTCAGCATCTTCAGTGGATCCTTCCCGCCTCACGTTCGACCCTAAGCTCCGAGAGGACCAGGGTCCTGTCTGTCATGCTCTCCACTTCATCCCTAGCACTGAACCCGCAGTCTGGCCCGCTGTATTTAGTCCATAGATGCTTGTCGAATGAGTAGACAATCAAGGTCCAGACCCGAGGCCAAGCATCATAATTGTCTGTGATTTAGCCTTCAGCCTTCCTTCTCAGCTGTCCCCCTTAGTCGGCTTTACATGCACTGTGGGGAAACCATTCTTGGCCCCTACATTCTTCCCTCTACTCCTCTGCTCATTTTTTGTAGTGATCTTCTTCCATATTCTCCTTCCTATACTGAAGCTCTGCCTTCCCTTCAAGACCTAATCAAGTGCCGCCTCCTCCAAGACATGCTGCCCCTCCGGCCACAATTGTGACTTCCCCTGCCAGCTGGCTGTGGGAAGTCACTGCACTTAACTTTCCCTAACATTCGGGTTTTCTATGCATGTATTCCATTCCCCCTGTTAAAGACGGTAAGCTCCTTGAGGGTGCCGTAGCTCCTTAGGGGCTGTTGTGGTCACCTTACCGTCCCCTTCATCTCCTCAATGCCCTTGGTAGGCATTTTGTGATGCATGTAAAGTGAATGAAATGGGTGCAGACCTAGTACTGAAAAGGTGGGTCAGGAGCAACTTGTAAGAATCTTGAATTAGTTAAGGACTTGGCAACGGGCACTTCGGGCTTATGAGCAGGACTTAGATATGCTCCACATGATCGTGTAGGAAGAAAATGATAGCGTGGCGGCAGGTGGGTGAGACCAAGGAGAGATTGTGACAGACCATGCAGGAGGTTATTATAGTCCAAGGTTTGGGGTACTGGAAAAGCCTGGTAGAGATTCAGAAGAGACTCTGAAGGGAAAACCGATAAGGTCTGGCAGCAGGGCTTGGATCTGAGAAGGCGGAAACATAAATGAGGGTAAAGATGTCCCTTAAGATTTTGAACCTGGGTGCCTTGGAAAATAAAATTATAATCTCTTCAAGTGTAGGACTTCTTTTTAATTCCCCCACAGGGCTAGCAGTTGCTAGTAAAAAATGAACGGTAGTTTACAGCAAAAATTGTATTAGGAATCAGCATTTGATCATGACTCTCCAAACCTGAAGTAGTCATACTCTGAATGTAATCATTTATTTACCCAGCAAATACTTATGGAACACGTACCATGTTGTTTTAAACCTGACCTCTGCATAGAAATTTCTCGTGGGGTTTAAAAAAAAAAAAATTCCTTTCCCGGGTTTTATTTCAGTATAGAAAAGAACTAAAAGTCCACCTAGAGATCAAAAGGAAAGCTTCAGGAATAGTGTCCCCCCAGACTACAGCGAGCAGAGGTTGGCTCTCCCAGTGGTAGAAACACGGAAAGCCTCTGTGCACTTTCTGCTTGGATCCTATGACCAGCACTGGCACAAAAGTAGAGAAGCAAGAAGGATGGCTGTTTTGGGAGAAGATAAGTCAGGTTTAGATTTTTTTAAGATATAAGCGTGAAGCGATTCAAGGCTACGAGTGTGGGCTGGGGAGCCACACCACTTGGGTTCAAAGCCTGGCTCTGCCACTTACAAGCTGTGTGCTATTGGGCAAGTGACATAACTTCTCCGCGTACAAAGTGTGGATGGTGGGGCGCCTGGGTGGCTCAGTCGGTTGAGCGTCCGACTTCAGCTCAGGTCATGATCTCACACTCCGTGAGTTCGAGCCCCACATCAGGCTCTGTGCTGACAGCTCAGAGCCTAGAGCCTGCTTCAGATTCTGTGTCTCCCTCTCTCTCTCTGACCCTCCCTTGCTCATGCTCTGTCTCTCTCTGTCTCAAAAATAAATTAATAAAAACATTAAAAAAAAAATTTTTTTTTTTTTAAAAGAAGGTGTGAATGATGACAGACCTACCTGATAGGGTCGTTAAGGGTTAAATGAGGTAATAATAATACATGTAAAAGGCAGCCAACCCACAGGGGCACCATTGGGTTGTTTTTTTGTTTTTTTTTTTTAAGAGTTTTAAGTAACCTCTACACCCAATATGGGGCTTGAACTTACAACCCCCAGATCAAGAGTCACATCCTCTGCTGACTAAGCCAACCAGGTGCCCCTGGATATTTTACATTTATTACATTTACTTCAAAAGAAACAGCAGTGTGGGACATCTGTCAAACACCTTGGGAACTACTAGCTCAAGGTAATTCATGGTTGCTACGTCTTCTCACACGACATTCCTTGCAATAATGCCCCGTCTTTTCGAAGCTGGTCTTCTGTGATGGCTGTGATAAAAAGCAAGTACCATGTGAAAAGCTATGTGGGCACCCAGCTATGTCTGGGAACTGTGGCTCTGCATATTAGTGAGCGTTCAATAGGAGCTGTTTTCAATGTCCTCCCCGGAGAAGTTCCAGAGAGCAATAGAAACGCAAGAGCTGGGGCTCAGCAGAGCAGGTGGGGCTCGGGTGAGGGTGGGGCGCTCCTGCACAAGAAACGAGGTCCCTGAGCAGAGAGCCCAGAGCAGAATCTGGTACGGTGCGCACAACGGGGCGCCGGAGGAGGCAGAGGGGGCCACTGTGTGGGAGGAGAAACCAGA